AACTAAATTTGCGTATAGATTGCCTGCACTAAGCTCATTCAGTTTTTGTTTGTTTGTTTGTTTTTTTTCCAAATGAAAAAAAGTGTGTGTGTGGGGGGGGGGTTAGGGACCATAAGTACATCGGCACAATAGGGGTCATTTTGTGTAAGGGGGAGCAGCATCACAGGAAAGAAAGCAACTATAGACTATAGAAAAAACAGAGAGAAAGAAAAGAAGTATTTACTTACCAGCGGAGCTTTCCAAAAGCTTACTCCTATTATTGTGTCTCTTACTTACTGAAAGCTTTTTCTTTTCTATAAAAAATAAAGCATCATCATGTGTTCCTGATGTGCAAGATACATGCTACTTGTCAGAAAAAGCAATGTTTTTAAATTTTTGAATGAATGAGGTATCCCCAGACCTAGACACTTTATGTAACTGTTACCTTAAATTTCTTGATGTGCCCCTCTTTACTCAAACTCGAACAAATGATCATTATTGTTTGAATTTGCTGCACTGTAACTCAAGTTTATATCCAGACTATCGTCAGAATTTTTCCCTGGTGAAATGCAGTGGCTATGATACCAGTCTTTTGTGAACTGTGAACTGTAACCTCCAAGTATCTTTGCTTGACCTCACTGCGTTTGTCTGACTTCTTCTTGTTTCTTCCTACTGGCATCTGTGGTGTAGCAGTTGGGTTCTTTATCATTGCACCCAGGAGATTCGAGTTTGGATGCCAAATAGGGAGAATTTTTATCGAGTATCTTGGTCTTTCTGCTAGGATGTTGTTGTTGTATCTCTCTCAACCCAGGTTGGCCCTGACAGGCAGGGTTGGAAGCCCTCCTCCTTAATGATCTAAACTGTGTCGATAGGGGAGCAAAAAACACATACTTTAAAATATTAAAAAAATTTGCTTGTTTTTTTCTCTGTCAGATCCCCGAACCCGGAACTGGTTGCTGATCTCAGACTCCCCGTACCCAGTATGGGTGCTGACTGTCATCTACGTTGCGATGGTGATGCTTGGCCCGCACATCATGAAGAACCGCAAGCCGTTCAATCTGCAGTGGTTCCTGGTCGTCTACAACCTGGGTCTGGTTGGACTCTCGGTCTACATGTTTGTAGAGGTATGTTGTCAAATTCTGGGGGGTACCCCGGGAGGGGTGCCACTGACTGAAGTGTCTTTAGGCCATTCCCAAAGAGGGGACATTTCTCGTTCTAATGCGCAGTAGAATTGTAAATGGGTTAATCCAACAATGTCATGCTCATAACTGTGCCTGAACTAAAACGGAGAACTGCTGCTTTTTCTTTCCTAATCCTTACTATCGCCATTTTCCTCTACTTCTTTTGTATGTTTGTCACACTCTTGTGAACCGCTATTTCCGGGATGCCTTGATAGTCGAAGCAGACTTTGTGCTGTTGAAGCTAGACAAGTGAGCAGAGTAAGTCTGATTCCCTGTAAGGACTTCTCTGTTGACATCCACTCCTTGGCGTTCATATGGCCTTATGCAGTTGTGAACGCCGTAAAACCTCTACTAAAGCTTTTAAAAATTCGGGGTTTTTTTGGGTTTTTTAACCTTCGATGTTGATCTTTTCATCCTGACAGGAGATTACTTAATAGTCTTAACAAAATTTTGATACTGTTTTGTTTTTGACAATTTTATTGTTTTTTTTGTTAGGGGGCAGGTAATTTATGTTTTATAATTTCTAGGATAACATCTCTGGATGGTTAACAGACACTGTGTTTCATTTGTTCTGTCTACTGCTTTTCAGTATTACTGTCACATTCTGCTTTCTGGTGAAATGAAACTGCCATGGTGGCCAAGAGTTATTTTTTTTCATTTACTCTGAATCATCGTTATGATCACTTCTCTCACCACGAATCAGAGTATAGGCCACCAACAAACATATTCCCATGTCTTTCCGCTGCTTTGTACATCATTCTCTGTTACTTTTCTCCAAGTTCCACATGGCTTTCCCCTTGATCTTTTTTTATCATGTGGATCCCAATCCAACACATATTTGCTTTGACTGACAAGGGTTAATTGATACTTTTTGTTCTTTGTTAGTTAATCTGACTGTAAATAAAGTGTGTGGATGTTTGTCTAGAACAAAATCTTCTTAGCTAAACATATGCTTTTTTATTCCCTATTTTGCTTTCGTCCTTATCTACTGTAAGATGCACAGCCGATTTTTAGACACTTATTATTCTTAGGGAAACACATGATTTGTCCCACCAACTACAGCATTCGTTTTCATGCTTTGTCTTTCCTGTCCACAGATCTTCCTCAGTGTCTATGATGCTGGCTATGACATGGCGTGTGCCAAGTATAACAAAGATTCTATCACAAATCCCAAAGAGCTGAGGGTAAGCTGTTGTTTCTGTTTTCACATCATTTAATCGCTTGAAGATTTTTTTTGATTTTCAGAGAAGATGGCGCAGTGGGTTCAGTTCGTGTTTAGGTTTTAAGTATTGTTGTAATTGATCCTGAGGATTAATGGTTGAAAGGTAGTTTTTAACTTTGCCATGTGAAGCTTTTAGATTCAAAGTTTTCTTTCGGCCATAAGTATGGAACTTTTATATTGTTCATGTGTTTAGGTCAGTATCTACTTTCCATGTCAGTGTACAGAACTCTTCAGTTTACATTGGTGAAGCTAGGGCATTATGTGAGCACTATTAGGTAGTTTACTTCTTCTCTACTTCTTTAATGTCATTCTATTACATTCAAACTCACAAGTAATTGCCACCCAACAGCGTTGACACAGAATGTACAAATGAGAGTGCTATGTGCCAAATAGGCTGCCCCTCAGTGTGCCCTAGAGAGAGATAAGGGTGGGAAATCAAAATTAAATGACTGGCCCAGTGAGTTTCTGTGAAGTTGTGTGAGTCTTCCATCAGAGAGGCTGAACGACTGTAAAAAGTGTTCTGAATATTTCATTGCTCAGGCTCCGAGTTGGCAATTGTAAGGTGCTGCTGGTAGGTCCTTTTTTCTAATCCATTTATATCAGATTGACGCCATCTGATAAGTAGAAAAAAAGTGCTTTTGATAATGTCTTACGTGTATACTTAGTATGACAAGTAACTGTTACAGACAGAGATTCAAGGATTATTGATGTAAAGTCATTGATCTGAGAGCAATGATGATTTTAGAAATAATGGTGAGGATGAGTGATAATGTGGGATTGCGTTTAAGTAATATTAGCGTTAGTCCTATCTTCCTCTGCTCCCACGAGTCACGAGGGATGTGGGCACCCTCTATCCCGTTACCTACTGGAACCATCTTTAATGTCACCGTGAAGTTCCGAAATGGTGAGCAAAGTCTCTGCAAAAGTGACATTGTTAGTGTTAACCTATTCTATCGGGCTAAGACAAGTGTCGAGAGCAGCTAAGTAGGAAAACGGTACTGTGACAGGTATGTGGGGGTATTTGTAAGCAGGTGTAGGTAGCAAGTTGACAAACAGGTTATGAATTTTAAAAATGGAGCATTCTACTGCCTGATCATTTACCCCGAATATTCTTTTCATGTGCTATTAAACTTACAGAGATTCTAACACAGGGTCCTTGAACCGGAGTCTTGAGGGCACAATTTACACGTAATATTGTGTCTCTTCGCCTCAGGGGGAGCGACCTCGAACTTTCAAATCAAGTACCCTATGTTTGAATCCCTCACAGTCTCGTCCAAGATTAGCATAATTCCAATACTAATGTTTGGAAGCAATTCCTACTTTTAACAAGTCAATATTGTGCAGATGCTGACCAGCTGTGTTTTTGATGGATAGAAATGACTAGAGTGAAAGCGGGTGCTGGTAAGTCCTACTAGTTTTCTTTTTCTTCATTGTTCTTCTGTCTATCTTGCTTTTTCCTGCACTAAATAATTTTGTTATTAACTCAGTATGCCTCAAGGATTCTCTTTACTCAAACAACAAACTCAGGGTTTTTATGTGCGTGTTTGCAGGTCTCCAAGGTGCTGTGGTGGTACTTCTTTTCCAAGGCTATCGAGCTGCTGGACACAGTGTGCATGATTGCCCGCAAGAAGTTTGAGCAGGTCACCTTCCTCCACGTGTTCCACCACGCCAGCATGCTCAACATTTGGTGGTGGACAATGATGTTTATACCTGGAGGAATGTGTGAGTATACTCAGATATGTGCTTTTTGAAAACACTACTCGCATCGAATGTTGTGTACTTTTTTTTTGTTGAAGTTGTTTGTTTTGTGTTACTTATTTTCGTGGTCCGTGGAGACTTTTGATAAAGTAAATAAGATAACTTATTTTGAGATACATGTCTGAGCACCAATTTTTAATTAGTATGTGTATTGTTTAGGGTGTCTGCAACTAAATTAACACTTTAGCTCATGGGGATTTGTTCTAATGTATGCCCCGAAATCCTGGAAAAAGGAGATAATCCTCTAAAAATATCATGCATATGTTTAAAAAAAATTCATGTAAAAAATGTCTTTAAAAAAAACAAAACTATAAAAAAAACTATTAGAAAAATACTGCTTCCAATGTCTTTTGTTGTTTTTCTTTGTTCACCTTCCTTTTTCTAGCACTAATTGTTCATTATTACCCTAATGTTTCTCCATATCTCAAAGAAACAGGCAAGCACACTTTTGGAAGTTTCTCGTGCAAATTGTGATTATATATTTTTTTTCTCCTCTTACAGCCTGGTTTGGAAGCTGGATGAACTGTTTAGTCCATGTAGTTATGTATCTATACTATGGTCTTTCTGCCATCCCCTCGCTCAGGAGCAAGCTGTGGTGGAAGCGTTACATCACCCGCTTCCAGCTGGTAAGTCCATTATGTGCTGTGTCCCCATAGCCAGGTTATATGGCAAAACTACACTAGGGCTGCCCATCATTATACTTTTTGCGGAATCATTATTACTTTTTTTTTTTCATTTTATGCAATTTGGATTGAAACTTGAAACTCCCCCAACCGGGTTTTGATTTTTGAAAAATTCTTTTGTCGTCGGCTACCACGACCCTTCCCACTGTCCGAGAGTGTAAGGAAGAAAAACAAGCTGACCTGGACAGTCTATATCACTACGTCGCATCCAGCAGCCTTACTTTAACACCCTTTGTGCACAGAGGTCTTGTAGTTGCTCAGTACTATTGTGCCCTTTGAAAAACATTAGTTGTGCCAAGAAGTAAGGTAAACATTTGTTTCTCAAAATGTTTTTAAAATGTTGCTCTTTGCGTTATGGGTGAAGGCCTTGGCTAGTGAAATAATTTTTTAAAAACTGATCAGTGTTTGAAACAATCAACTGCAACACGCAGAATGTGCAGTGATGCACCATTAAGAACAAGGCTTGTAACACGTCTTGTCAGTTTGTGTTGTCTTTATATGGGTTAAGATGGTGGCTGATAACCAACCATATTTACCCCCCTCCTTTTTTTCCCCCCTTTCCCCCTCAACCTGACTATGATGAGCCTGCGGAGACCTCTTTCATCAGGCTTTTGTTTACATCACATTCATCCTTGAACCTACAACTGTTATTGACACCACAGGGGAAAAGACTATCCATGGCCATGTCACAAATTTTTTAGCCTGATTAACAATTTTGGTTTATGTAGTTGAATGTCTTTTTTTTGGTGATTATCTTGGGTTGTATGTCTCATGAAGATCTTGTTTCTTTTCTGTCCTTCTGTGCCATCTTCTCTGTCATCACAAGGTTAATCACTAAGCCTTTCTTTAGTATAATGATTTCCTTTTCGGTCTTATGGCGGAGATATTCTAATGTCATATGAACCACATCTATTAATGAGGAATATTTAGGGGTGGTTGGAGTGCCTCTTGTAAATCCTACTTTATTTACTATCCATCTTTTACTTGTGTCTATCTGCCTCTCTTGCTATTTTCCAATGCCAAGTGACCATGTGAACGTTGCAGAATGTAAATGTGTTTATCTTTGACATCGGTACTCAAACATTTTTTCCATCTACCCTCAACCCCCACAGCTGCAGTTCTGCATCACCTTCACACACACAGTCAACTCCATCCGTGTGGGTTGTGACTTCCCACGCTGGGGCCAGAACCTGCTCTCCGGCTACATGGTAGTCATGCTCATCCTCTTTGGCAACTTCTATATGCAGGCCTACATCAAACGCAGTGCCAGCAAGAAAACCAATGCAATCTCATCCTCATCCTCATCCTCATCCTCATCCCCGTCCTTTGAGAATGGCAGTGCCTTCAGCAACATGGAGGCCAACGGTCACACTGCCCGCCGCACCAAGCATGACTAAATATAGAATGCTCGTCGACCAACATTGTCAGTCGTGGTCGATGTGTAGATGTAGCCTCAGTCAGAGATGTTTAACTGCTTGTTCGAGTGGCGTGCTTTCACGGAGCTAGCCTCTTGCTGCTGATAGAAAATTATTCTAATCAATAGTGTTGATAATTTATCAGAGTATACATTTTTATGTGATCTATTTATTGATAGAGATATGCACCAGACATTTGAATGAGACGCCAACAGGCCCAGTTCCTCTGTTACTTTAGCAGTACTGACATGGAAGATTCTTGTACCTGTGCAGGGGATTTATGTTCAGCTCTCCTTGCATAAAGGAAACCTCCAATGAAGTTGAATGTACTCCTGTGTGGTGCATGTTAGATGATTGCACTGTATCCTAGAAGGAAAGGGTCAATAGGAGATTTGCGGAGGAAGGAAAAGTCAGTTGGAAAGGGCAAAGTTGGTAAAACCATTCAATGAATAAGTACTAATATAAAGAAGAAAGCGACCTAGTTTTTCTCTAGTCAGTGTGTTTCTATTTAGTATGAAAGCTTGCAAACTATTTTTGATAATTGGCAATCCTCAAGTGCTCTTCCGTTCATGAAGGGCTTGCATTTTTTTACCTCTAGTCTAGGACAGGAATGACAAACAAACTTTATGTTTCAGAAACAGTCTGCTATACTTTTTAAAAATCTAAAATATCTAGAATTAGAAATACTGTTCCAGCAATGGATGTAAAGAGAAATATGAAAAACTTTTTAATTTGCTGTTGAGTCACACACGCACACAATGTGTGAAAGCTAAATTGCTGCTTGTTGTTGCCATGTATTTTTTTTACTGGAGAACAAATAGCGTCAGATCTTGTTTTCTATGTAAGTGCGAGAGTGCTTGAAGTCACCATCTGGAATGTTTGTGCTCTGATCACAATTGCTTTATGATTAGTTGACTTGTGCCGCGAAAGTATGGCTGGAGTGACCAGTTTGCAGGACTCTGAGAGAGCTAATCCAATTGTTGTACATTGTTGTGAGTGATAGTGCCCTGCCTGTATTCTGTACTTTTCACTTTTTTATACTTTATTTTTGTAAGCTCACAAGATGGGCTGCGATGCTGACTTGTAGAGTGTTTTAAAGTCCAGAAGTATATCTAAGTTGCACAATTTTTCCATTCCTCAGCTGTGTGGACCTGATTAAAATGTTGTCACTCTAATACCTTATATGCTGCTATCGTTTTTCGATTGTTTTTTTTTTTTAATTTTTTTTTTAAGAAAAGGGAACATTTGTTTGTTTTTTTAAACGTCTCAGCATATGTTTGTGCATATATGTGTGTGTTTGCGTGAGTGCAATTTTACCATAGTCATGTCAACAAATGTTGAGAATATGCTTCTCTATTCCTTTGCTATTCCCTTGCTCTGTTCTCTCTCAGAGGTCATTGTTTCTTATAATGATGTAAATCGGACAAAGTGTTGGTGGCCAACCACTCAAAGATAGTTAATCAAAGTTAGTTACGTAGTAATTTAGAATAACCAAATTTATATCTTTTAAATTGTTCTGTATGGTTTTTAACGTCCTTTTTTTTATTTGCCTACCTCCGGTATGAAGTGGAAATGTCAGAGTCAATTTTTAAAAATCTACTTCAGGGCTTTTTAAATTTTAAAAATTGTTTTTGGTTTTACTTTACATTCTTGATTTTTTAAATCTTGTGTGCGACTGTATTTATTTCATACTCTTCCCTGTCAGTTTTTGTGTATGTTTGGGGCCTGACATAGAGGGGGTTCCATTTTCTGCCATTCAATTTTGAAATCATGTTACTTTTTTGTATAGATGGACAGCCTCCTGAACTTTAATTGTCCCCTTTTGAAATGTAACATCATAGCTCCTTTGAGCCCTTTATTTTGCTCATGGTTTTGTCTTTCGGAACACATGCTGTACACTTTCATTATGTGAACTGATAATTTCAACATAATCTGAACGCTTTACTACTAAAAGGAAGATCTCTTATTTTCCTGAAGTTTTGTGAGTCATTCAGGTGGAGGGGGTGGGAGTTTGTTTTTTATGTGAAAAATGAACAGGGAAGTCTGTCTTGATTGTCAAACTTACCAAGTTCTGTTGATGATACTCTTCGAAGAGTTGTGGATTGGATGTGGTTGTGTATTGCGCATTTTGCAGAAAACTGAATGGCTACTCACCTGTTTTATGAATGTTGTAATTCCCAGTCCTTTCTCTCATCAAGGACAATTGTCTTTAACTATAGAATGCATAAAAATGTGTTTGAGATGTGGCATTCACAACCATTGTAAGTAATTTATGACTCTAAAATTTTGAAAAATCGGAAAAGTAAGTAGCACTGTCCTTATTAGTTGATGAAACTTCAGTTTCCTTGATAATTTTTTAACACAAAAAAATTCATGGAAAGAGAACATAATATTTCGCTTGACAAAAACAATTTGTCATTGGTTAATTCAAAGTCATGCGGCATTTTAATGAAAATATTACAAAATGGGTGTGCCTGCATGAAGTCTTGCTGGCCAAACTGGGTGGGTAGGCGTTGAGTTCACCAGTTGGTGCACGTGCATGGTCTTGTCAAGTATCCTCGACCTTTTGGAGAGGTCATTTTTTCAAGTTCGCAAACTTTTTAATTACCAGTGGTGTGCGGAGCTGGCTTTAGCATATAGCATTCTTATCTGTTCATATTTTATGCGACATGTGGAATGACATTTTTTTCCTCCCCCCCTTCTTTGAGTGCACACACAATTTCCCCAACTTTACTTTTACGTGGCTTTAAGTCAGAGGTCAAGAGCCGAAGGGCTGCTGGATTAACAACTTCTATCTGTGTATGGGTAAAGATGTGCTTGTTTATGTGACTTCAGTGTGGTTTTAGGGGGGGGGTGGGGGCTTCTTGGTTTGTACACAGAGATAAGGTATATATTTATATAAAGTGTTTTTGAGGTTTTAAAACTGCTGCTCTTTGGCCAACAGACTTTGTACACTTTATTCTCATCTAAAAGAATGAAAAATACTTTCGTCAAAATGACTTGAATTTTTATTGCGAAATGAAGAAGATTTCTATTATAAAGGAAGTATGTTATTGCTTCGTATCATTACCATTGCGCATATAAAACAAATTTTGTGATGAAGTAAAATAAATGTTTGTGCTGGCGTCTTTTGCTGAAAATATTGTTTTTACAGCTTTACTGAACTCAGAAGGTAATAGTCTTCTCATTATTCTATTTAGATATATTGTGGCATTCTTAGACTTTAAAGCTATTACATTTTTATCATATGGGTAATTTATGCCTTGCTCTGTTGCCATAAGTACTGAAAGTAAATGCTGAGTTTGTGAACTTCATGCCATGAAATTCTAAATTTGATGTAGGGAATATTGAATATGTTGAAGGCAGAGTGTGTTTTTTCCCCCCCATCTTGTTGTTTTAGCCATTGCTGTTACTTTGTTATACAAGTTTATTTCCTTGCCATAACTTGTCGCAATACTGTCTCTGTGTGTACTTAATTTTGTACTTCAGTATTTCCAATCCTCCGGTGCATTTCAGTCGAGTCGTCTTAACTATTTCAGTTCTAAAGATTCTTAAATTTATTATCGGAGTAGAATATTGTGTATTTGGGAATAGTAGTTTTCCCAATTTCTATGCGCGCCTTCTTCTCCAGCTTCAAAATTGTATTTGGTGATCAGTAGAGTTGGAATATGTGGATGGTATCTACGGAAGCTTCATATGCCGATGGGATGTTACAGCAGCTCTAGATACCCATTATGTTGCAATGCCGTTTGTTCCCACGGTTACTGAGCATGCCGTTTGTTCCCACGGTTACTGAGCAATTGAGATGCATTATGGAGTTTGCAAGCCATCCCTTGGATTTGATACAGCACTCTATGTCATAAAGCTAAGACATTGTTGTGTGAGCTTACAACACTTTACTTGGTGGAACAGACCCTGAGTTCCTGTTGTGTCTCCTTAGGCTACCCACTTCCTCTTCTTTGTCAATTTTGTACTGACGACGATGGACACTGACTAGATTTTTCTGAAATGTTACCAGTTCAGCTGTTCTTGATTTAATTTTTTATTTTTTTTTAGCCCTGTTTGTTTTTCTCATGTTTACAGTTTTAATATTAACATGCTCTGCTAGGTGTCATTCAGAGACTCTGAAACTCAAGAAACCAAACTTGTGTTTCTTGAAAAGAATTGGGAATGTGTTGTGGACATGTTTACTGAACAGCTGGACGTTCACTTGAGTAAAGAGGCCTGACTAAGCCAGTTCTGGGTGATGTAATCCAAATGGAAATGTATGGAAAGAGTTCGTATGATTTTTGTTTTGGTGTTTCAAAAAAGAAAATACTGCTGTCAGAGACTGCTCAAACCCAGCTTTTAAAATCAGAGTATGTTAAACAATAAATATTCTTTTTGCCCTTCTTTACTCCATTTAAGGTGACTTTTGTCGTGACAAATAGAGATGTTGACAAACGCCTAATGGTAGGAGTTGGACTGCAGGGGTCACGGATGATTTTAGCTGAATTCCATCTCATATGAGTGCACGGTCCAGTCTTATTTCCTACCCATAACTGATCATTCAGACTGCCAAGTCCCAAGTGTCTACTCTTCTTTAGTCAGGATGGTTTTCCTGGAGAGTTTTTGATGTTGCTTGTATAAATGTCGAGGTGAGTGAGGCGGCTTTTGAATTTAAGTTTCCTGCCCACCTCGTAACGAGCCATGTCTCAAGACGTTGCCATGTCGACTCATGCGTGAAAGTTTGGGCTTCGACCCCATTAGGTTAACCATTTTCTTGGTTGTCTTTTTCTGAAGCTGTGTAGAGCAGTATGTTCTCATCAAATTTATACGGGTTTGGGGTTTATTTTTGTCATACATATTGCATAATGCTGCTTATCCAGAATGTACACTACTTTTGACAGCAAGCTCTGATAAATTTTGGTTTTAAAAAAATGTAGATGATTGCTTGATATTTTTCCAACTGTTGTTTTCTATGGTTGCATTTTCTATTGATGACTTTTGATAAGACATGAGTTTTAAAGATTTCTCTGAAGCTAATATCAAAGTGCCCACAGCATGCTATGTTATCCCTCCCCTTGTGTGAGCTTTAAAGCTACAAGCCTCCTTACTGTATGCAAGTGTTGTGCTTGTGTGCGTTGTGTATGCCTGACCCATGTCTGCTCTCTCTTGTTGTTTTATTGGAATTTTTTTTTCCCATTCATTGTTTATGTTTTATTGATCTTTTTTTTTTTTTTTTAGATGTTGTTGAGCAGTTTTCCCCCCCAATGTTAGTGCAATATCAGACTGTCTGGTCAGATAGAGGCCCTTAGTTCAAGTGTTTAGCTACTTTTGTTATTTTTTCAGTGGTGAACTAATCATTTGGTCATAGAGTAATGGAATAAAAAATTCTCTAATTTTATTGTTCTTAGTTGTTTTGTTTTTTTTAATTTAATTCTCTCCCCTTTCTTGGTGCATTGTTGGTGTTTTACTGAGGTTTGAAGCTGATGATTTTGGTTTAAATACCTAACGGGGCATGTTTGAACTTGCATTGCTTTGAGGAGTTCCAAAGCTCTCAATTTATTAGGCTCGGTTCTACCTAATAAAGGGTATTAAATTCGGAGGTCGCACCTCTTTTTATAGCTTTTCAGTTGGGCATTGAAACCATAAATTGAACTATTATCTCCCCATCTGTTTGTCTGCTCTCTCTCTCTCTCTCTCTCTCTCTCTCTCTCTCTCTCTCTCTCTTTCTTTTTCTCTTCCCCCCCCCCTCTCTCTCTCTCCCTCTCTCTCTCTCTCTCTCCCTCTCTCTCTCTCTCTCTCTCTCTCTTTCAATATTTGTATTTTTGGCTAACGGTAGATCTCTATACATAAGTGGACAGGCTTGATGTGTAAAGACCTAAGGTTGAAGATCACTACCAAGAACCTGGCTGCCAAACCCCAATGGCAGAACAAGCTCTTTCTGCTGCCTTTCTACTGCTCCTCCTTGGCTCCTTCTTACTGCTGTCTTTCTGCCACACCCCTGATCTTATGGTAGGTAAAATCTACACCTAGCCTTCTAGGATAAGGGTGAGAACTTCGGAGGTCCCGTGTGCAAGTTGCGAGATCCCTTCAAAATCGATAACAGTAGGCTTCGGCCGCCACCCGGGCAAAATTCAAAATTCCTACCAACTCAATGTTTAATGAGTCCCGCGCGCCCATATGACCTTATGCAGTTGCGAGCGCCGTTAAACACTTACCAAAACAAGCAAATAACAAGCGACAGGTGTCCCCCAGAGGGGAGGGGGGGGGGCACTGGAAGCCGTAGTCGCAGACCTGCGCATGGCAGAAGATATTCGGAGACGTCTCCGGCGAGCACCCAGGAACTATTCGAAGACACTCCCGCACACAGATGCACTACTTTGCGGGTTGGAGGGGGGGGGGGAGTCAAACTGCGCATCGTTTGCTGCAGATCACACATATTATAGCCACTTAAACTGTTGCAAATCAATTATTTTCAAGAAATTGTCAAACCTAACTGCAAAATATCAAAATATGGGTTAAAACAGGGGGGTGCCCCCTGTAACCCCCCCAGCTTTTTTTACTTGGTCTAGAGGCCCAAAGCATTTTGATTGGTCTATCTCCGTCGGAGACGTCTCCGATTGAATAGATACTGCTCACTGCACACAGAGGGCTCAGGCCGAATGGTTGGCCGTTACTTAACAACTGGTGCAGAAGTTTGGCGGTGGGCAGCCCCTCGAGCGACTGAGCAGCTCTTTCTTTCCTAGGATAGCGTGGCTCACCTCCGTGGCATGAGAAAGGGGATACAAAAGATGGCTTTAATTAATTTTAAAAATTGCCTGCTTCACATCAATCTCTTCAGCCTACTCTAAGGTATCGAATTAACGGGGTT